AGAAAGATGATATTATTTTTTTTAAATCCACATTATTGAGATACCTTTTTAAAAGAAATCTACAACAGGATAACATTAGAGGCAATAATTCTTTGAAAAAAAAAACAACTATATATTTTGAACTGCAATTGCAAAGTAAAATTTGTGACAATTCATTTTAACTTTAAAAAATCGATAGTTAAACAAAAAGAAAAATTCAGAAAACATGACATTCAGCCAATCACATTTCAGGTATTGATTAAGATTCTGATATATATTTGGTGGTTGAAAGACAATTTAGCAAAATTTTACCAAAACGTTTTACAAGAACGCTGCAGTATTTTTTCTCATAAAAAAGAAATAAAAGATGAGCAGGCAGTGCGTTACCTCTTTAATTGTTTGCTTTATAGCTTTATCCAAAGCTAACATAATTTCTCAGAAAAGATATACGGTAGAACTGGAATTTAATGATAAAAAATCAAATCACTGGCTTTTAGGGGAACATGATTCCGATTCGTTGACCGAATGCGCCATGATGTGTCAAAAGAAATGTATTTTATACGGTTTCAATCCCATGCTGAAGAAATGTCGTACCCACAAGAAGATCTTCACGACGGAAGTGTCTAATGAAGGAGGCTGGGGATACTATACAGATGTCTGTATGTATAACTGTTATATTTTGGTTTGTTTGGTTGTTTGTATGTATAACTGTTATATTTTGGTTTGTTTGGTTGTTTGTATGTATAACTGTTTTATTTTGGTTTGTTTGGTTGTTTGTTGTTTAAGACCTTTTTGTGGATAGAGGGTTTCAAATTTCCACTTTAACCCCTCAATTTAGGGTTATTAAGTATTGCCGAATCATTTTCCTGACAACATCACATTCGGCACGGTAAAATGATTATATAGTCTCATCCAAAATTCCAGAATTTGCAAAGAACTGTCCTTAAGCTATGAGGGGGGATCCTTCTCTATGAGGGGGGATCCTTCTCTATGAGGGGGGATCCTTCTCTATGAGGGGGGATCCTTCTCTATGAGGGGGGATCCTTCTCTATGAGGGGGGATCCTTCTCTATGAGGGGGGATCCTTCTCTATGAGGGGGGATCCTTCTCTATGAGGGGGGATCCTTCTCTATGAGGGGGGATCCTTCTCTATGAGGGGGGATCCTTCTCTATGAGGGGGGATCCTTCTCTATGAGGGGGGATCCTTCTCTATGAGGGGGGATCCTTCTCTATGAGGGGGGATCCTTCTCTATGAGGGGGGATCCTTCTCTATGAGGGGGATCCTTCTCTATGAGGGGGGATCCTTCTCTATGAGGGGGGATCCTTCTCTATGAGGGGGGATCCTTCTCTATGAGGGGGGATCCTTCTCTATGAGGGGGATCCTTCTCTATGAGGGGGGATCCTTCTCTATGAGGGGGGATCCTTCTCTATGATGGAGATACATGTAATACCCTCTGTCGACGGGTCAGATTCACCGCCCAAAGTCTCTTGATCTGGAAAACGAAAAGTTCCTGAAAAAAACGAAAAGTTCCTGAAAATTTTATGAAAAAAAGGCATTACGATCCGTGTTCACCACGTCAGTCTATATTCAATTCAACGACTGTATTTGAAAAGAAGGTCATTGTATCGACCTAAATATGCACATTTCTGAAACGTGGACTTAAACATATCTTGTAAAATTATTTTAAGTTCCACTCTCCGAGTGAAACATCATCTTGATGGAGTTTTGTAAAGAAACTGACGTTTACATTCGACAGCTTTCACATTCTCGTAATTGCAGTTGGCCTGTGTTTAAATTGGAAAAAGTCAGTCGCCGATTGTAAAAGTAATTCTATTCATAAAACTCCATTTTTAATGGTATTCTTCTTTAGATTCTTATAAGTAAGAAATACAAATAAATTTCGAATTTCCAAGAGAATACATGTATTAGGAACATGTGTGCCAATTTTTTATAGCTGTATATTCGTAGAAAAAAATCATATTAAAGATTGAAAGAATTAGAAAACAGAATAATTTCAGGTAATGGCAAAATATGTACAATCCATATTTAAGCTACATCGTACCGCACAATCTCCAAAAATTAACCATAATGTATTTCGCATGTATCTCTACATTGCATGTATTAAAACATTATACGATTCCACCATTTTCCCCCTTTTTACAGCATCTCGTTTAGATTGTAAGGATCTTCATAATGACGGCAACTCTATTTCCGGTGTGTACGACATTTACCCGTATCGAACCATTACCATTCCTGTCACAGTGTATTGTGACATGACGACAATGGGCGGGGGATGGACGGTTTGTACATATGTTATACTTTATATTACATAATTCACTTCAAGTTATCAAGTATTTCCTTTGTTCAAGAGAATAAGTAGATACTGTAGTTCGTACGTATTATAACTTATGGATTTTATAATTGTTCAAAACAGTAAAATGTATTGCTATAATTCTTAATTTTAAAGGTAATTCAAAAACGAATAGATGGATCCCTGAATTTCTACAGGCTCTGGAAGGATTATAAAGATGAATTTGGTGCCCCAGAACAGGATTACTGGATAGGTAAGTGTACATCTCTTTTAAATGGGGACTCTGAACCAGAACAGGATTACTGGATAGGTAAGTGTACATCTCTTTTGAATAGGGACTCTGAACCAGAACAGGATTACTGGATAGGTAAATGTACATCTCTTTTAAATAGGGACTCTCAACCAGAACAGGATTACTGGATAGGTAAGTGTACATCTCTTTTAAATAGGGACTCTCAACCAGAACAGGATTACTGGATAGGTAAGTGTACATCTCTTTTAAATAGGGACTCTCAACCAGAACAGGATTACTGGATAGGTAAGTGTGCATTTCTTTTAAATAGGGACTGAGAACCATCTGAACGTTTCACTAAAGGACCTTTATTTTAGAAGATAATGGCAATGAAGCCTATCAAATATATTATTTTGCGACTGGGTAATATCTTTTTGGCAATAAAAACGATAGCGAGAATATCAGATCACTCAGAGTGAAAAAAAAATTTGCATCAATGTCTGCAGTTTATGTAAAAAAACAACGGTAGTTTAATTTTTCGAGAGAGAAAATATAATTATAATGGTATTACGATGGACTTTACAGTTGATTTCAATCGTAATACAGGAAATGACGTAATCCATCTGTTAACAAAAGAAAACAACTCGTTCCTTTATGTTTCGATCACTCTCGAGAATGGTACAACGCTGTATGAAATGTACGACAGATTCTCTGTCTCTGACGAAGCAGGAAAATATCAGCTCTTTCTTGCAGGACCTGCCACGGGAACCTTAGGTAAGTGTATTGATGTTAGCTCTTAGAATTGGATACAAAGAAGAATTACTGCTTAATTTATTTATATTTATTAATCTATTATCATGCTGACCATTGAAAATTACATTAGATTTTTAAGAACTTACCTTGGTTTTGCATGAGAGCGTCAGCATGTGGAAGATAGAGGATAAGAAAATTCATTAATATAAACGTTTCATGTCCAAAGTCTTGTAAAGAAAAATTTTTTGTGCGTATTCAAATTTTCAAAACAGCATTATTATAATAGTTTTTTCGTATCGTACATGTTATTGTATTATTAGAATTCTACAAGTTACATGAAACCAGTTATGTTAATACAAAGTTTGCGGATAAAATCCCTATACTATTGAAATATAATTTTCATTCTTTTTCCTCTATCCAATTTTTTTTAAGAGCACTGGATACTTTTCGACTAATGTAAAACTAAATTGTGTTTCTGTGTGTATGGGGGGAAGCACAGGAAGAAACAAGACCTTTCAGATAAAACTGAAAGGCGGCTTTCAGTAACTTTTCAGTGGCCTTTCAGCCACTAAATGGCATATACATTTCAGTGACCTTTCAGTTGCCTTTCAGTCACATTTCAGATACCTTTCAGTCACCATTCAGCGGACACATTTCCGTCAACTTTCAGTAGCCTTTCCATCAACTTTCAGTGACCTTTCCATGAACTTTCAGTGACCTTTCCGTCGTCTTTCAGTGACCTTTCCGTCGCCTTTCAGTGACCTTTCTGTCGTCTTTCAGTGACCATTCCGTCGACATTCAGTGACCTTTCTGTCGTCTTTCAGTGACCTTTCCGCCACCTTTCAGTGATATTTAAGTCTCAATCTAGCAATTTTTTTCACTAGCGTATTATTTAATAATCAGATGTTTTTCCTTAACAAGGACGCAGTATTTTGAATAAAGATTTATTATTCAATCTTAATTGTGTTTTTTGTTTACTTATCGTGATCAAATTAGGGTACCTCAAAATAAGTCTAAGTAGTTATTATTTTTAATTACAAGAATAAATAAATCGCTTATACATGCCTCTTGTAGAAAAAAAATATATTGAAGATTTTAGCTTTCTAAATGATATTGCTTTAATAAAATCATTCTACTAAGTTTCTAGATAGAGAATTTACAACGATCTTAAATCTTTGACACAGGAACAGGTGCCCGTCTCTGATAATTGTCATCATCCCGATAGAAGATGTGTAATTAATTAGTCTGTCCCCAAAATAAAATATGTGAGACCTATTCAAAATGATTTTTTATTTTCTAGTTACATTTAGAAAACAAAAATTCTTCATAAATTGATGATCCTATAACTGATTTAAAATCTAAATAAATGCATAACATTCTTTAGTGCTTAAATGCGTGTATTTTTTCATGGAAATATATAGTTTTGATTGATGAGACAGAATTTATATTATTAAGTTTCTAGATAGAGAATTTACAACGATCTTAAATCTTTGACACAGGAACAGGTGCCCGTCTCTGATAATTGTGATCATCTCGATAGGAGATGTGTAATTAATTAGTCTGTCCCCAAAATCCGCGCAACTAACATAGAATATACAAAAGATATACAAGATATATACACATCGCAGCTCCTCGATACAACAGGTGAACTGATTGTTCCATCGATTTCTATAAATTAATTCATTTTATATCCTTAGTATTCAACAAGAAGTCGTAGCGCAATTGATAAGGTCGCGGACAGCTAAGCAGGAGACCAGGGTTCGATCCTTGATGTGGGAGCAATTTCTTTTCTTGTATTAATTTTTTTTATTCGGAATTAGATACAATTAATGCTATTATACCAGGAAAATGTAAAATAAAATTTTTAGGTAAAAAATAAGCCGATTCTTCAATTGAATGATCACGGAAATGTCACTGAAATGTATGTGCCATTCAGTCAACTGAATGGTAACTGAATGATCACGGAAAGGTCACGGGAAAGGGTCTTTTCAGTGACCTTTCATTGACCATTCAGTGACCATTCAGCCACCATTTAGTCGACTGAATGGTAGATTTTCATCCTGTGAGGGGGAAGGGTATGTTCAGGTGGCAGCTTAAACTTTTTTTTTTATCAGTTTAGCATCTAGAATCAACTTTTTAGTCACATTAGTTTAAAGTATTAATCATTTTGCATCATAAAATATTCATTCATATAAAAAACTCATTAAAAAATCATTTACACGAATGAATAATGCATTAAAATTAGATGAAATACATGCATTCTGTGTCTGTCGTTAAAAAAATATATATATATATATATATATATATATATATATATATATATATATATATATATATAAAAAAGAATACGTGTTATTTTATTGGACTGTTTTTAGATAACGAGAAAGGAAGAAATAATTTACAATTTTGTTTATCATCGTGTTTGACTTACTTCATATTCAATGAATAATTAACCATCATATAATTTCACATACATGTAAATTTAATAGTTTCAAAGCATCCAAGATTTAATTTCACTTGTATAACGTCTTAAGAATGCATCGTCTATTACAATCACATCATCGATTTTTTTTCTTTAATATTCATTTAACAGGTATTTATTTATTTATTTATTTTACATTTATTTTTCGATGTATTTTTAAATTTGATCAATTGATTATTTTTTATTTAATCATCTATTCATTTACCTCCTTATATTTTTATTTTGTATTTTTATTTATATATCAATGTTCTTGGCATAGAACTCTATGATATCCATCAATTTTTGTTAATCTTATTGTTAAAAAAAACTTTCAAAATCACAATCATTCTATCCAAAAACTTTTACAACTATGCTAAACTTGAATTACAAGAGAAATTGTATTTTGAGACATTGTTCAATTCATCCGTTTTGCTTCGGCGAACAATACATGGGCCATACTGGGTCATTTACTGTTGCATCATTTTAACAAAACAATAATAGATATGTATACACTAGTAGCCAAACAGGGGCTTACTGTAGGTAAATGTGACTGGGGATGCATACAGATAACTGTGGAAATACTTAAGGTTACAGAGAAAAAACGGCCGGTCCTTTGAATGAAAGGGTAGACTTTTGAACGTAACAAAAGGTTTACAATTTCTTTATATTCTAGAAATGTGTTATTTGCATCATTTGCAATGAAATTAAATCAAAACATATATACCGATCCAGGAATCCATTTTTTGTATAATCTGTCCTTATGTTCTGTATCACGTTTGTTTATCAACAAATGATGTTCAAATTTTTGCAGATCATTAGATGATGAATAAATTAGGAATTGTGAATATTGAAATTGGCTTAAAAAGAATTCAGGTGAAACTGTGGTCATGCTCCTATAAATTAATTATGTCTGTGAAATATTTTATATAATTGTACAGGTGACAGTATGCTTGACACAGGAGATTCTAACCACGATCTGTCAGGGATGTACTTTACCACCCCTGACAAAAATAACGACAGAGATAGTGTATATAACTGTGCTGTTAATTATGGTGGCAGCTGGTGGTATAACTCCTGTCACGCCGCATTCCTTAACGGTAAATGGTCCCCGGCGACCTGGAAGGATCCATGGTATCCTATACTAAAGAGTGGATCACTGATCAGGGGAACAATGATTTTAATAAAACGCCACTAGGTAAACAACACTTCATCTTACTGATCAGGAGAACAATGATGTTAATTAAACGCCACTAGGTAAACAACACTTCATCTTACTGATCAGGGGAACAATGATGTTAATTAAACGCCACTAGGTAAACAACACCTCATCTTACTGATCAGGGGGAAAATGATGATAATAAAACGCCACTAGGTAAACAACACTCCATCTTACTGATCAGGGGAACAATGATGTTAATAAAACGCCACTAGGCAAACAATACTTCATCTTAAAAAAAATATTCTTTGATATTTCCTTGAATATTTGAAACGGCTATAAAAAAATTCTAAGAGTCGCTTTTATTTTTAAATATTATTTAATTGTTTTATTTTTTTTTTTCAATTTTAACAGATGGATATTCAAACTAGTTATACTGAAAATTTATAAAGACCGCCCATTAGTGAGATGAAACATTTCTCATAAAAAAGAACATTTTTAAAATTCGTCATGGGATTCTATTCCTTTTTTCAATAATGTTGATTATCCCACGTTAACCCTTTACCCCGTTCATATACTAGTAGCTCATATCATATTGATTTTGTATCCTACAGTTGTGGGTCATCATGGGTTTGCCAAAGGAAGTAAAATAAAGTGGAGTCCTATGTATAGAAGCCTGTGTAAAACATGGATTGTGAATTATTAAACATTGGATGAAAAGAATTCCCCATGATTTTTTTGGTTGGATATGATCAGGGATAAAAATCACAAAATTTGCTGGATAAAAATAATATCCAACTAAAAATCATTGGAGATTCTACATAGGTCAAATAGAAAACATTGTGGAGGATTATGATTTAAGTAGGTTTGGCGGTTGGACTATCTCCTGAAGGAATAAAAGTTTCGTTAATTTTTTCTACCGAATGTCTCAATAAAAGCTGTACATTATTTGTGTTGTAATAAATTGAAAATCAGACATGTTTTGTTCTTTTTCACGAACACTGCGGAATGAAGATGTCTGGACAGAGAATTAGAATAAATATCGCTTTATTTAATGCATCGTAGAGTTGTAACTGTTTAGTCTCGCACCTTTACTTTCCGTGAATTTCAACATCAAATTACATTCTCCTTTTATAACATTTATCCAGAAGTGTATTAGCCCTGAAACAGACGTTTTGGACTTGGTGAAACAGTGCCTAGGAAGTAGGGATGTCTCGCCCTTGGGGCTGATATATCTTTGTCTCGGCCCGTTGTCAAGGGGCTGTCTCGCCCTTAAATTTCAAATAACTGCTTCTGTTTAATTTTTGTGAATTAAGAGTAAAAGTCATATTCAAGTATTAAAACATTATATATCGAAAAATGTAACAAGGATCTTAAAAAATTATTTATTTAAACTATAATTTTGAGAAAACTGGTTTTAAAAGAGCACCAAAAAAATATTACTTGTGATGTAAGAGAAGTAATACTTTTTTTTACTTTTAGGACAGCAACAAATCATGTTTTGGAAAAAAATGGACGTTGATTGGCTTTGACAGTAAGACAATACCAAGATTCCATTAAATTTTTTATTTAATATACTGGGTATATCGTAACCAAATAAACAGTCCCTTTAAATCTCAGATTTACAACCTGTAACAAATCGTTGAAGTATTTGTAACCCCGGTTCGATCTAAAGTGAAAGTAGAATCTTTTTATCTAATGTGCTTCGAAATTATGTATATTTATTCACCGTCAAGCAACATCTTCAAGAACATCTAAATGAAGAAAGATAATTTTAATTTTCTTACTAAGAAATTATACAAACTTTTCGATAGAAAAATATCTAAATAATTGTTCTTTTCTTTGGTTTAAGATATATGATATTAACAACATCAAACCACTGTTAAATTTATTATAATTCAGAAATCTCCTTATTTGGGCTGACAATTATAACTGGGGATCATTTACTTTAAACCAAGTGGTCTGGTAACTTTGCTAATACATAATTTATATTCATTAAAGAGGTCTACTAGAAGTAACATATTTTTGATGCAGTGACGAGGAATTCTGATTAGACACCATAACATAAGGTTACATGTCAGTGGTAGTGGTCGTCAAGGTACTGTCGTAGAGTTATGACAGGAGTCAATCAGACCCCTTCGTTTCTCCTTTTAGTGAGATTCAGAGTAATTTCGATACTACCAGGAGTTAACAGTTTACTTATTTAGAACAAGTGCTGCAGGATCTATAGTGATTATGACAAATCTAAACAGAAATGTTAGGTGATTCTGTAAATACCAAAAGACCTAAACGAAAGGAATAAGAACTAAACAAGTTTCATGCAGAAATAAAGCATCGCAAAAATACTTGATTCATTTTAAACAATTATTCAAATGTAATGGAATAAATGATATTTTGATAAGAAAAATCATGGAAACAAATGTTTTCATGAGAATCAAATTGCAATTATCTTTCATATTTAAAAGTTTTGTAGGCATTTAATTTCGCTGTTTTAAAAGCATTTCTAATCAATATATAGTCATATGGAATTCCTGGTGAATGGAACACAGGGAGATAACGAACGATATCCAAGATTTAAAGTTCTTTAAAAAAAATAGTACAAAACAGACTTGGAGCAAATAAGAACCTCTAAAACGTCGGAGGTGGGATCAGGAGCCATTGAGGATTTAGCATCCCCTACCGACCGGTCAAATCTACCGTGTGCGCCTTCTCATGATCGGGATCCGTCATCAATTCAGTGTATTGATAATGAATTAAGCATTGTGTGGTATTTAAAATCGTTAATTGTAAACGAATAGGGTGTAGAACAGACAATTGATTTGAACATTTTTTGAATATTTTAAACTTGGACCATATAAATATAATAATCATTCCAGCAATTAATTGTTTACTTTATAATTTTTAATTCATTTAACTATAATTATCCTGTTAGAACAAATTGGATTTTGTTGTTGTTACATGTACAATGAACTATAATTTTGTAATGGAATTGATCGGAAAAGACCAATCGAGCCCATCGATACTAAGTAATAAAAATTTAAACGGAAATGCAACATTACTACATGAGTATATAGGTTCTTGACAAAAAGTAAATAAATTGGTGACTTTGAAGTAAATAAGTAAGAAAGCTTAGAGGCTAGAACTCCTGTGATGCAGAGATAGGGACTAAGTCCATAAATATTACTGAGTGTTTGTCTGCATTTAAGGGTGTTGCCATGTTGGGATTCATAGGTCAACGGACAGACCTACGAACAAAGAGTAGGTGGCATGTAATAAGACAGGCAATGAAATGTACCTTTTTATCCTGGACCATGAATAGCCTCTCGAGAATATTAATCTTGTATACAATCCTCTATATTTTTTTTTTAGTTTTTAATAAAAACAAACTAATTCCTTATTTCTTTTTAAAAATGAATAATTCAATTCTAATATATATCAGTTTTTTTCTTAACAACTTTAAAATAGATTAATGTCATTTATTTGTGGAAAATTAAAAGATTGAGGAGAAGATGTTCCATCAAATATGGACATATGCTTGTCAAAATCAGTCTTCTTCTTTTACAATTCTGCATTGAACATTTCCTTTTAAATGTATCTATGACGTATTACCATTCCATGCATCGGGTTCGGGGAATTTGGCGCGTGGAGAGGTATTCATGTCACAATCAAGTTACAAAGAAGAAGGGGTATTAGACACACTTGTATCATGGTTGTGGTGTTTTCCTTCGAAGATCGTTGTGCATTTAATCTTGATACATTTGAGGAGGCGGACCTAAGGGCATGCGTTATCGTGTATATTTTGGAAGTTATTACATGTAAAATAATTTCTAAACTATATATGATATTACTCATACATAAGCTTAAATGAACACCATAGTAGAAGTAATATTTTAAACATTGTTTTATTCATTTTTCAATCAAACTGACTCTAAAATTCCATCTACTCATTTGGAGTTTCGTGAATGGACAGAAAACCAATAACACTGAAAGACTTTTACACCAGACTGCAGCAAATCAAAAACAAGAGGTCCTTGGGACACATCGCTCACCTGAGAACATGGGCTAGTTAAAAACACAAATAAGCTCAGTTTTATTGCTAAGGGAGGAGGAGGGAGGGGGCTGAAGTTTTTATAACTTGAGATGTTGTCACTATATCAATAAAGCGTGCATGTATAATTTTGGCATTCTTGAGAAGAAGAGCTTAAAAGATTTTTCACAAAAATTTCTATGTAAAGATTTGATTGCCCATGATATCCTCACCTTATCACCAAGGGTCATGATATATATAAAACTGAATTAACTCTAACTGAGGACTTTTCCATATTTATATCACCAACCATAACTATGCTGATCTTGAGAAAGATCTTTAAAAAATTCCTATATATTCATGTCGGGTCATAACGTTAACAAACTTGTATTTACCCTTCCTGAGGATGCTTCCACATGAGTTTCATCTTTTCTGGTAAAATAGTTTTGGGAAAAAAAATAAAGATTTTTCCTACATATACAAGGGGTGATCGAAAAGTTCGCGAACTATCTCTATATCTACACAACAACAATTCATTTTGGAAAGGAATTCGGTACATGCAGAGGTATACACAAGGTCTACAAACAGCATATGCTGAATAAAGTTTTTCTCCTTGTTTGAGACGTCATAATGTGAAAATGACGTCACCATGTAGGTCATTTGTGACGAAAATTGGTTGTCTCAGTCGAACTCGTTCAACAAACGACTGAACAATTTATTGTATATCTTAGAAACCCCTTTGCAGTATCATATAATAATTTGTACATAATTTGATTATTGAGATGAATGAGTTCCAATACATTCAATTAATGATTGGAGTGATCGTTTTAGTGAAGGAAGGCAGATGGTTAAAAATGATACTGTATAGGGGGAAAATAACTCGCGGTGTTAATATTCGCTATATTCACGGTGTTAAAAAAATCCGTGAATTCAAGAAACAGTGAATAAATTTTCAATAATCTCCATGTTTTATTTGGAAAATTGAGAATAGACTACGATAGATTTATATAGG